TATGGGGAAGAGAGAGAGAGAGAAGGCGAGGAAGGAGCTATGGTACCATATTGATCGCACAATCAGTTTGAACATACTCTCTTGGCATTCCTCCAAGACCCATTACATTGCTTTTACGGTCAACACAACTAGTTTAAAAGGGAGAAAAATAGGGTTAAAAACATAGTTAATTAACGGTTCTCTTCAATTCATCTCAAGTATAGAAAATTTCGGCCCATGATCAAGAAACACACTAAAATGCAATACATAGATCCCAAACATAAATCCAATAATGGTTATAAAGCAATTAATAAGCAAGATTTATTATTTAAACGATATCACATATTTGTAGTTATATCAAGACAACTTTTTAAACTCTCAATATACAATATTAAGAAGCAGAAAAATCCATATCATTCAGTTAATTTTGTATACCTGACAACACCGGCTGTAACAGAGTTTTGAAGGGAAAGGGGACAGCCCAAAGCTACCACCCATTCCCCTGGATGTAGCTTACTTGAAGAACCAAGTTTTGCTGATGGAAGTGGAAGTGTAGAATTGATCTTCACAATAGCAATATCTGAATGTAAATCAGCATTTACCACAGTACCGACAAATGTTCGGCCATCTTGCAAAATCACATCAACCTACAATGTTCAACCACTTTCGGATATAACTAATCAAGAGATGGACTATACATTATACTGTTGCAAATCGTGCACATCTCCATACACCAATTTCGATCATTCCACAACACAAACCACTCATACCAGGGATTACACACAAAGTCAAAGATAGCAACCATAGATTCCTAACCTTTCACTGTCCATTTAGGGTTTATAGGCAATAGGTTAAATATTAAAACATTTACTAAATCATTTTTCTCATTTTATATAATTCATGACATTCCTATCCTATCAAACAGCATGATTATTGTTCCATGAACCGAAAGTTTGAATTACTTAATAAAAAAACTTTCAACTCAAAAAACTCCAAAACAGTGTGTTTATGAAAACATAAATTCTTCACTGGTGTCAAATTACACATCCGTTATGTGAAATATAAACTAAAATCATGAGTAAATGGCAACAAGAGTACCCAATTCTCACAAACCTAAAGTATGGACAAGTTAATGCACACTGCTTTCATGACTCATAAGCTCTTATAGGTCCAAAAATACTAAGAAAAATATTGATATTAAACAGGATAATCACTAACCTTCCCTCTCGGTATAAATGTGTTGCTTTGAAATTCTCCCACAACATGAGCACACGTTAAAATAGTACCATCAGGATCAATTATGGTTCCAGAGCCTGAATATGTCCAAAACCCTACAGAAAACGAAGTCACAGAAAATGCACCAGGCCAATTTCCCAAACAACATAGACTTATATAAGCAGAAATGCAGGAACATGGATTTGAAACATACAACGGGAAATAGATATACGGACAGCTGCGGGAATAACCATAGCAACAGCAGTGGCAATAGATCTAGAATCATCATTTTGTTTCACCTTCCGAGGGAAATGCCAATTCTAGAAAGAAATGTTTGAACATCTACTACAGTTTCACAGTGTATTGAAGGAAAATAGCAAGTTAATATATTGCATTCACAAAAACACATACATGTATATATATTTATACATACATACACATATATAGATGCATCTACATAAGCATGTTATATATATATATATATATATATATATATATATAAAAGCTAAGGAAACAGTAAATCGAAATAATGAAATTTCAAGAGAGAGAGAGAGCAGTGAAAGGTCGAACCATATGACGAAAGATTGGAGATGAGTGTTGAAGGAGAACGAATCATCTCTTTCACAATTGGCCATTGCAGCGAAATTGAATCACGTAATGATGCGGGAACTGAAAGTGAGACAGTTGTTTTGGCAATTAAAATCATCGATAAAATCTTTATCTAGAAATTGAAGAGAACTACACATCACAAGCTTCGTGTGATTAAATGTGAACTGAGCTATTTTTTTAAGCAACAGTTGAAAAGATAAACAGTACAGAACGTAAATAATTAATTTTAGATTCTCCTTTTTCCTTTTCCACAATTTTCTCGGCAACCAAACAGTTTATTTGAAGAAAGGTTAGATACTTGAGAATGCTCAGTGGTCAGTATTCACTAGAATCTGTGTCACGGGTCGAATACAGAATACTCGACCCAGCAGTGGAGAGAGCAACGATCCGAATGAGACGATTCGTGCTGAAGATTCGAACCTTTTGCTGTAAAAGAAACACAGAAGCAAATCTCACAAATTGTTCAACATGTAAATGGATAATAATCGACTGAGACTTTTGCGTTATGTTTGGATTCTGAGAAATCGGAACTAATAAAAACAGAACGCAAAAATTATGGAATCTCGCGACGGTAATTTTTAGACTTTTCTTTCATTTTTATACGATTTTTTCTCGAGAATCAAACAAGCGTTAATAGCGGGAAAGGGAGAAGTAGTTACTAGTAGTAATTGACTCGTGAGTGCTCTATTGCCTGTCCAAATTACATGCTTTTTTTTTTTTTTTTTTTGGAAAGTACGCTGTGGACAGTAGAAACAGTGTTATGTTCTTTTGTCCGTATCCCTTACTAATTAAGGTTTTTTTTTTTTTTTTATTAAGTAAAGTAAGAAATTTTAGAAATTAGATTAGTAGGTAGAATGTGATATTTTTTGGAAGGTACACTGTGGACAGTAGGAACAGTGTTATGTTCTTTTGTTTGTATTCCTTACTAATTAAGGTTTTTTTTTATTAAGTAAAGCAAAAAATTTTAGAAATTAGATTAGTAGGTAGAGTCTTCGTTGCGAGACATCTGTCTTATTAATTAAGTTATCTATATCATTTTTCATGCATTTTTTTTTAGTAGGTAACATTTGAAAAAATTTATTGTCTCCATTAAATAATTTGTGTTCATAATAATACAAATAATACGAATCCAGAATACCAAGATTCATAAATAAGACATTAAATAAATTACGTAGATATTAAGATTTAAAAAAATTTGGGTAAAGTAAAGGGTGATATTTGGTTATAATTTATAAATATTCCTTGCACAACACAAAAAATTAATTTATTGCCAATATAACAGTATGGTTCGGATGAGCTCGGTCCACGAAACACCAGGCACACTCAAAACTTTCTTCCTTCCTTCCAACCAAACCAGACAAGCCTCTCCCACACTCCTATCTTCTATCCCTCTACTTAATTCTTTCCTCCAAACAAATGGAGAGGGAAAATTTTACTAAAACTTTTGTTAAAAATAATAACAATAATAATAATAATAAAATCTCTTTTTAAAGCTATGTTTGGACTTTGGAACATGAAATTCGCATTTTAAAATTGAAATTAAAAAGGATTGAACAAATATCATCCAATTTCAATTTCAATTATAATGTGACATAACTTAAACATGTAATTATGGGACACTATATATTAAAAACGGTTAAAATTATTCTGTAATCGTACTTACATTTTCAGTCTTACCGTGAAATGATAAAAACTACTTTAATCAAATCTAGTTACATGGAAGATAACGTTGACTTGGTTGTTAACTTTTACTTATAATTTTGATGATTCAATCCTTGTTCTTCTGTCCAACAACATGACTATGATATTTATTGCACAATTTGGAGAAAGAGATAGAGATCTCGGTGTAGCATCTAATTTATATAAAAAGAAAAAAGTTAATTTTTTTTATTTTTTATTTTTAGTAACGAGTATAGAGGAAAGAATAATGTAACATATTTTTGTGTTTCGATAAAGAAACGAATGCTAACAAATTAGTCATTTTTGAAAAATGATAAAAAGACTAGCCAAAATAAAGACGGTGCCCTTAATTGAAAATATATCAATTTTTTCCCTCTCCAACTGTCTTTTTCTTTTCCCACATTGGATCAACTAGTGACTCGATAAGCTTCCTTATAATAATTATGTTTCAAATGCACTAGCAATTAGTAAGTAATAGCCCAAAACAGTCCAATGCATTGGTGCCTATAAATTTTATTAACAGTAGTTTTAAGTTTATGAGGAATGTTATCATGATGTCAACCTCATGGTAAAGATCACGAACTTTTTTTAAATTAGTATATTTTGAACTCAAAAATTAATAATATCGTCACGTAAATAATATCAAAGTGACCCATTATAAGAAGAAAAAAGTCAAACTCAAAACACCATAAAATAAAATGATACATTACAATAAAAGATAAGATAATAATTAATAAGATGATAGTTTAATTTGTTTGAATAAAGTCTCACTCTCTATATATATAATCAACGTACTCAGGACTAGGAACCCTTAAAACACGCATGCTACATTGGACATCATAAACAAATGTTTTTGATGATGCAGTCTATCATTATTCAAAGGGTCCACGTGGTGTTCAAAAAGAACCAAATGGCATTCAAGAAACCACCCTTGCACAACTAAATCCAAGTAGATAACTACCAATTTAGGGCACGACTATGGAACAGAGCATGTCACCTAATATACAAGGCTCCGCCATTGCGGGGTCTGGTGGAGTGTCGAAGTGTCAGATCAGATCTCCGCAACCTTACTTCACATACAAAAAAACTATTTGCTTGATTCAAACCTGTAACCTCCAAGTCATAATGGAACAACCTTACCGTTGCAAAATCTTTACGCATACACACAACAGTACTCTTCTCAACTATAGTGTAAGGTCAACGAGTGGCAGATCCCTGCTGCTAGAAAAAAAGTTCCAATTGCTTGGAGAAATTTTCAATCTCCAGATAACTTTTCAACTACAGTACAGTAAGAGATCACCTGTGGGAGTTCCATAAAAGAATGGAAGTCATTTGCTAGCAGCATCAATCTTTGTTAACCATACGAAATCCATTTGCTAATTACTTGCATCAATTTGGCAATGAAGGAACACATCTGTTCATGACATTAATGACATAAAGGCGGCCTGTATGTCGATTCACAGGCTGCTGAAACTTTGTATAATTCTGTAGGCAAGGAAGGAAAAGACTAAGACAAATTCTGATCAAACACTCAAATATTTCTTCTTTATTTCTTACCATTTTTTCATTTATGTTTTTGGAGAGTGGGATTCCTGAACAAAGGGAAAAGAATGTACTCGTAACAAAAAAAGAACAACAATAACACCTGCTAACATCTACGTTTTCCCTTTCTTTTTAGAGTTATTTGTGGTTTCAATGTGGCAATCAATGTAAAGGCAAAACTAACAATAAAAGAAGCAGTGCCATCACAACTCGGGGATTGCCTCCTCTGGTACCACAGTCAAAGGCACTGAAGTATCTTTCGCTCTTTTCACAACTACCTTTAAGGGCATCCCAACTTGCTCTTCCATAAGTTCAGTGATCTGTCATAAATGCATTAAATTTAAATATTATCATACATAATCACATAAGACATAGTCACCTATGTTAGCCCCAAGGTTTGAACCCAAGGACATTTGGGTAATTTTGATTATAACAAACCATTAAAATGTTAATTTAATATTCTACTTGAGTTTGCATTATTCAGGTTTATTTTAGAACTCGGAAGAATATCCAAAAGATCAATGGCAGATCTCAAATGAAAAAACAAGGCACCTAACAAGAGGAAACCCATTAACCTCAAAAACATCAAGAACATTAAAGTCATAGATGAAGACAATGGGTAGCTTATTTCATTGGTGAGAGCTAGATTAAATTGTAAAGCATATTTTTGATGCTTTTGTTTGAAAGCTCAAAGTCTTGGACTTAGAAGACTCTAGAACCCACAAACCAAATGAATCATATCATTTAGAGGTCTCTAGAATCATAGACATGCCCTTTGAACTTAGTTGATTCACATTGTAAGGGTATAACAGTCATTGGAATAGCTAGAAGTCACCTTGGTCTTTAAAAGAAAATTCAAAAATACATATTTGTTGGGTGACTTGGTCTTCTAAGTGGTTCACTTAGACACCTAAATGGCCAAAACACAATAGGTGATTCGATTGTAAATAGCTTAGACATCTTCATGGCATCCTATAGACTCCTAATTGGAAAACCAGTAGCTGTACAAAATTCTTCCATGAGATTTAGACGTCTAACTGGAAGTTTTAGGCGTCTAAATAGCCAAAATCCTAAAAAGTTGGCTTAGGCGCCTAACTATGTATTATTGAGACACCTAAATGGATTTTCCAGAAGCAGGGTAATTTTAAGAAAAATGAGCTTAGATGTCTGAATGTCATCTTTAGGCGCCTAAATATTCATAAAATTCAAATCCTGTCAGATCCAACTACCAGCCACATGCACATCTAATGCCCCACGGCCATATCCTTGTGAGAGGCTATACATACATGTTCTCTTGAACATTTACGACATTGAACTACCACTTGAAAACATTCTTGAAGATCATTCATTGCTCTTAAAGAGTTATTGCCTAGATTTGAGATTTTTATTACTTGCATCATTTATTGCTCTTAAAGAGTTATTGCCTAGGTTGTGAGATATTGATTAGTACATCTATCTATTAAGGATTTGAGGGATACACTCTTCTTTTACTCAAATTCACTTTCTTCGTTGATTATACTTGTAAAAGGGTTGGCGAGACCCTTGAAGCCTAAGTGAAGGTTTTCACTTAGCAAGAGAGAAGAGCTTGTGAAGCTCACTTGTACTAGGTTTGCTCTCCACCTGTTAAGGAGGGTAGCTAGTAGATTTTGGGATCCTCGAGAGGCAATCTTGAGGCATGGACGTAGGCCAGGTCCCAAACCACGTTACGTGCTTGGTGTCCTTTGAATTTGAAATTTCTCTTCCCTACACTGTCTATATTTGTGCTGAGCTAATATCGTATTCATACATTTACACAAATTTATTTAATTGATCAAAATTTCATTGTTTGCCAAAGACCCAATCCCCCCTACCCCACTTTCCCTTCTTGGGTCAATATTTGGGTAACAACCTAATAATAGAGGGATGAGCAGAAGTGAAAGGTAACGTAGGTTTTCCAGACCCAAAACACTAATTTAATTATGCAGACCTATCCAATCATTATATTTAGGGGGTCATTGCAAGATGCAATGATGAATGTTCACACAACCAATTGTAAGGATGTGGGTTCAAGTTGTGTAAAATGTCAAAAGGTTAGATTTGTAGCAATCACTCCTGACTCCTAAATTTATGGTCACCATACGAGGTAATAATATTTCCCTCATCAAGGCTCTATATCAAGTCTATTTTTACACCATGGATGCATTGGCTTAAGGTGTACTATACATCTGATATTCTGCAATAGAGTGGATGCTGGGATCAGATTGCTTAACGGACAATGTAGATCTGATCAATCCTTAAAAATGTTTTCAAACGAGGATTCCAGAGTTAGGCATCAAATGATGCTTTTATCAATCATCCCTATATCAAAACCTAATTCATTGCCTCAAACCAACCAGGATAGTCCAGCACTTCAGGCAATATCAGAATTTTAAAAGTGGAAAGTGTTCAAATACCTCAGCGATGCTCCCAACAGGCTTCCCCTGGAATTCAATGACAACATCACCTGGATGAAATCCAGCTATATCAGCAGGTGATCCAGGAGTTACCTGGTCAAAAAATTGACACTTCCAAACATGAGAAGCATGCATTTTCCTTTAAAATAAAGAGATCCACATTTGATTCTGTGCATGATTATAAAATGTATCATTCAGACCTATGCTACATGGATTTCTCACTTCTCTAAATGCGTGAAGTCATGTTCAACATGGATATGCAATATGAGTCCAATATTTTTGCTTCGATATGCACCTAATAACCATATTAATTATATTTCCTTTTGTTGCATTTTTGCTTCAAAATGACTGAAGTGGCAACATCGAACATAGTGTTGCACAAAAGTACCATTTTACCTACAAACTGAGAAGACTATGAAAAACATGAATACTTTTGGTTTAAGGATTTGACAAGTCCAATGCTTAACACACACACACACACCCCCAACGCACATGCCCGAGTCCATGTAACAAGGATTGAGACAATGAATCAGTGAGACAATCATGCACATATTTTATACAACTGCGGTTGATTCAAAAGCTAATATAAATGAATATGTGAAAACCTTTTTCCCATGAGGATGAAAAGGCACAGTTACTGATTTAAATTAACAAATTGGGGGAAATACAACAATGCAAGATATTCCTCATCCCTTGAAAACATAAACTCTTTCCACATGCTCCATTCATCATTTGACACATAACCCAGAACAAATATAATTTTGCTTTCAAAATTTTCTTTCCAAATCAAGTTCAGGCGGAACTTGCTTGTCATAAAGAGTCCGGCGATACTAGACCATCTGATAGCCCAATCCCATAACTGTCAGTGCAGGTTGCTGGGGGGTGGTTAGAAAGCGTGGAAATCAGCCCTTGGCATTATTGATACAAGTGGCTACCCATAAACTCAAACCCACATTCTCACAATTGACAGCTTGAGCTTTTACCATTTTACCAAACTACTGCCGCTTCTTAACACCTTTTCTTATAAACAAATTAAATATTAATTAAACAACTGGGCATTATGTGGGGGTCGCTGAACAAAAACAAAATCTAATTGTCTTAATGATAAACATATCCTTTACCAAGGAGTAGCACAAGACAGTATGTCGATTAAACATAACAACAGAGACTCTGAATAAAAAGATACCTTTCAATCATCTCATTCCAAGAAAATAATAATAATGATAATAAATAAATAATAAAAAAGAAGAAAGAAATCCCAGTGGTGGCACCCCATGGCCTCCTCTTTCTCCGAGATTTGCAATGCTATTTCCAGAAAATTTAATCAATGGAAGGCTAAATATACCTAGAAACAAACAATTGCAATAAGCAGTTTCCCAATTATGGAATGTGATGGGCACTCTAACAGTGACTGTCAGATTAGTAATATAAAGAAAAATAAAAGACTCTGGGATGAATGTCATTATGTAGTGATGGTCCCCCTGCATGCGATGATGAGATGGGAAGACTAGAGACACGCCTAACCATAATATTATTTTACACAAATGACTGCTCTCAAGTGCGAATCCATGTCCTCGCACTTGTCACCACTTTTACCATTGCACCAAGAAATGACCCGTTAAAGAAAATAATGGGACCCAAAAGGCAAAACGAACTGATGAGAACACATGAGAGAAATTCAGTTAAGACGACAACCTTTCTTTTTTGTTCTCCTGGACTGTGGGACGAATTGATCATTTGAAATGGATATAATGATATTTGATATGGATTAAAAGATTCAAGGAAACGTAGTACAAGGACAAGGGGAGGGAAAGAAAATAAATTTAATCATGTACTGGGAAAGCATCAGCAGAATAAATTTAATCATGTACTGGGAAAGCATCAGCAGATCCTATACCACCAAGGACAAGCAGTGACATTAGACAGCCTGTTGGTATTATGACAAAGGATTCTATCAATCTTATTCCAAATGACCAAAACAGGGGAAGAAAAGAAAAGCACCCGAAACTGTGCCCTGCAAAATCCTTCTATTTTCCAAGATTTGCAATGCCATGAGCAGAGAAATTCCTCAAGAAAAGCCTGAATATGCCAATAAATGTCTAATTGAAAAAGCAATTTCTCCATGTGAAATGTGATAGGGCAATGTAACAGAGATGAATTGGCTGGATAAGTAGCAGAATAAAAAACAAAAGACTGAGAGGAATACATTCATAAAAAGTAAAAGGCAGCACAAAATTGTGAAAAGATATGAGAGAGATTCAGTTATGATGTGGTCCTTTTTTGGCAGGTGGAAGATAAATTGGTCAATTGAAATGGAGATTAATGAATAAACTGGTATAGATTAAAAGGTTAAAGAAAATGCAAAAAAGAGGAGGCTTGAGGTTGTGGGGAAACGCAGGCAACCCATGTTTTAAAGGGGGTGAAAATGGTTTGGATTAGGGTCGGGTTGAGCAGACACAATTACATCTAAACTTCAGCCAAAACTGACCTGTCTATTAAACAGGTTGCAAGATGCCAACAATAAGCAAAGGAGAACTATAAAAATATTTAGGGTAATGCATTAATGTCAAAATTAATAGTTGGCAGAACACAAATATAACAAAATTAAATCTTTTTTCTAGAAAATGCAAGTACAGTGACTCACTGAATAAATCGAGTTATGGATGGGTTGAAAGAGACCAGTCCAAACCCAACCAATTTAGAGACGGGTCATAACATGTAATGGTGGGTTTGGGTAGGATCATGGATCGAGTGAAAATTCACCAACCCCTAGCTTTAACAATAAATGAACCTTGTATGGTAGAGACGGCTAAGTTTGACATAGGCTGCACAGAGTTCATGTGATCAAATGTTGACATTCAAGAGCTTGCATCACAGCAATTGAAGGCCAACAACCACAATAAAATATATATATATATATATATATATATATATATATATATATCTTTATTTCCTCATTTACAACAAGGTAAGTAGCTCCCAAGAAAAACAATGACTAAATAAAACAGAAATCAATGAGAAAACATACCATGAATACAAGAACGCCTTTGTTAACATTGGGAAACAAAGGATCTTTATCTTTAAGCTGGGAAACAATCGCCTCATTAAGATCAAGCATTTTCATTCCCAGCCATGGCCGAACAACTCTCCTATACAAAATTAGAACTTACAACAAGTGCGATAAAAGAAACTAGTAAAGATGCAACCATATTAAGAAATGAATTTTCATGTTTGAAAACATTTTTATTTCACAACGCCTGAAGAAGGACAAACAGCTCAGAGATCAAATGAATGTGAGTTGATATCAATTGTGCAAGGATTCATCATCCCCACCCCCTTCTTTTCTTGTGGGGCTGGTTTATTGTTAAAAATGAAAATATCAAGGTAAGGAAACACCATAGAGCCATAAATTCAGTATGAAGAATTGGATAGGTCTCACTTTTAAAGGCTTAATCAGTTCAACAGGAAATTATTCACTGCACTACCAGTTTCCTCCCCCTTCACCCCAAGGCAACCCGGGGAGGGAAAAAAAGGAAAAAAGAACAATAAATAGCATTTTAATAGAAAATTCAAATGAAGCTGGAACAATTTGATCTCTAGAATCAACTTATACCACATATTTAGTTCTGAAACACATATTGTACAATCATTGAATGTAAAGTTAACAAACTCAAACTGTGTGCATACCATTGAAAGAATGGTAGCTAAAATCAAAAACAAAATATATTGATCTGCGAGTTCTATCTAAACTTACACAGTGTGTGTGTGTGTGTGAAAATGTATATAATCTTTTAGCAATTTCAACTTTTATTAACTTATGCTTGGGAGAGAGAGAGAGAGTAAACAAATGCAGTTCAAAACAAGATTATCAAGTATGTAATCCAAAATTTTAAAAAATAGATGCATATAAATGGTAAAACATACCCATTTTTCTTAAAGTGCTCCATAATTTTGAAAATCGAGTCGCTTGGTACAGCAAAACCCAAACCATTAATAGCTAATCTGATAACATTAACACCTACAATTTCTCCATCAAGGTCAACAAGGGGTCCGCCAGAATTTCCCTATATCACAAAAGCTATCAAAATACTGAAAAAAAGGATGTGGAGAGAGAGAGAGAGAAACGAAGAAGTTATGGTACCGGATTGAGCGCACAATCTATTTGAACATACTCTTTCAGCATTCCACCAAAACCCATTTCGCTGCTTTTACGGTCAACACAACTAGTTTAAAAGGGAGCAAAATAGGATTAAAAACACAGTTAGTTTATTGTTCTCCTCAATTCATCTCAAGTATAGAACACACTCTAATATATTTCTGCCATAATTAAGAAGCACTCTAAAATGCAATACAAAAATGCCAAACACAAATCCAATAATGGTTATGTAGCAATTAATAACAAAGATTTTATTATTTAAACCATATTGCATTTTTGTAGTTACATCAAAACAAACTTTTTACTCGCAATATACAACATTAAGAAGCAGAAAATTCTGTATCAATTCAGATAATTTTGTATACCTGACAATACCAGCTGTAACAGTGTTTTGCAGGCAGAGAGGAGAGCCCATAGCTACCACCCAGTCCCCTGCACGTAGCTTACTTGAAGAACCAAGTTTTGCTGATGGAAGTGGAAGTATAGAATTGATCTTCACAATAGCAATATCAGAATGTAAATCAGCATTTACCACAGTACCAACGAATGTACGGCCATCTTGCAAAGTCACGTCAACCTACAATGGTTAACCATTTTCGGATATAACTAATCAAAGGATCGACTATACATTATACTGTTGCAAAGCGTCCACATCTCCACACACAAGTTTTGCTCATTGCACAACATAAACCACGCATACCAGGGAGCACACAAGAGTCAAATATAACAATCATAGATTCCTAACCTTTCACTGTCCACTTAGAGTTTATAGGCAATAGATATAATATTAAAAACATTTATTAAATCATTTTTCTCATTTTATACAATTCATAGCATTCCTATCCTATCAAACAGCATGATTCAATTTCCACAAACTGAAAGTTTGAATTACTTGAATAATAAATACTTTCAAGTCAAAAACTCCAAAACTCTCTGTTTGTCAGACGATAAGTTCGTCACCAGTGTCAAATTTTAGCACATATCGATTACTGTGAAACATAAACTAAAATCGTGAGTAAATGGTAACAGAAGTACCCAATTCTCACTTGCCTAAAGTATGCACAAGTGATGCACACTGCTTTCATGACACATAAGCTCTTATATGTCCAAAAATACTAAGAAAAAGATTGATATGAAAACAGCTTTATCACTAACCTTCCCTTTTGATGTAACTCTCTTGCCTCGACTATCTAGCAAGACATGAGCACATGTTAAAATAGTACCATCAGGATCAATTATGGCTCCAGCGCCTTTTTTGGATCCCGAAGTCTTCGCATCCCCTACAGACAACAAACTCACAGACAATCTACTGGGGCAATTTCCCAAACAACATATACATTCATACACATATATATACAGAAACGCAATAGCACAGATTTGAAACATACTGCACGGAACAGATATATGGACAACAGCCGGAATAACCATAGCAACAGCAGTTGCAATAGATCGTGAACCATCACCAAACTTCCCAGAAGCATCCTTATTCACATCTTCAGAGGGAACAGAGCCAATTCTAGAAAGAAATAACTGAACATTTCCTACAGCTTCAGTGAATTGAAGAAAGACAGCAAGTTAACATTATACATCCATGATCGCGCGCGCACAATATTTGCATATATATAAGCTAAAGAAACAATATAAAACGAAATAATGAAAATTCAAAGGAAAGAGCAGTGAAAGGTCGAACCATATGGGGACAGATTGGAGGTGAGTGTTGAAGGAGAACGAATCATCTCTTTCACAATTGGCCATTGCAGCGAATATGAATCACGTAACGGTGCGGGAACTGAAACTGAGACAGTTGTTTCTGCAATTCAAATCATCGACAAAATCTTAATTAAGAAATTGAACAGAACTGTTGAACAGCTATAAACAGTGCATAACGTAAATATTTAAAAAATAGATTCTCCTTTTTAACTTTTCCAAAAATTTTCTCGGCAACCAAACAGTTCATTGGAAGAAAGTTGAGAATGCTCACTACTCACTAGAATTTGTGTCACGGTTCGAGAACAGAATACTCGACCCGGCAGTGGAGAGAGCAACGATCCGAATGAGACGATTCGTGCTGGAGATTCGAACCCTCTGCTGTGAAAGAAACACAGAATCGAATCTCACTAATTGATCAAAATGACAAAAGGATGATAATCGATTGAGACTCTGGACGCTTCGTTTGGATTCTGAGGAATCGGAACAAAACAAAAAGAAAGTAGTTGGAATCTCACAACGGTGACTTTTCTTTCATTTTCATACTATTTTTCCTCGAGAATCAAACACGCGTTAATACAGGGAAAAAGAGAGAAATTGAAAAGATGAAAAGTGGATACTGGTAATCGTCTCATGACTAATGATTATTGCTCCGTGATCTCCGGCAAGCCCAAATTGCAGCTGCAGAAACAAACTTCAACTTGACTTGAATTGACTTAAAATTGACATGGTACAGTTGTAATATAGGGATTATTAATATAAATGGTTAATTCCACCTACACCCCTGACCTTTGCCAATATTCCATTTACACCCCTCTACGTTTCATAATTTCACCTGCCACCCCTCTTAGTGACGGCCGTCACATTTACTAACTGAGATGTGTGATTTTACGATATTGCCCACAATTATATATTGATATTTATATAAAAATTTGTATTTTAAATGAAAAAGACTAAAACACCCTAATCTCTCTCAATATACCACATTGCATATATGTATATATATGTCTATATCTCTCTCTTCAATCTGTGTACACAGAGGATCGCTCCCAAATCATCAAGACTTTAATTTCTTGAACAACCAAATCGCGTCCCAAATAATCTTCCTCTGCATCGACGAGCTCTTCCTTGACCGCTACAGTCACAAAAACTTCGCTGTCGCCCAACGATCGTGTCATGGTTCTTGGCCTCACCACTATCACTCAAGCTCTCAACTTGAGCCTCCACAGACGAATCCGTATGACCCAGAAAATTGAGACCCATCAAGCCGTGAACTATGACCTGATTGACGCTTATGACGACTGCGACCAGTTCCTGCCATTGCTCTGTTTCGAGTGAGGTTTACAGAGAGATAGAAGGTGGGTTTAGGAATTGGGACCCATTAACAAAAATTAGTTCTTCTATGTCATCGAAGTCGAAACGGCGATGCCGACGGCATTTTGATCGACGCCGACAGCAATGCTATTGCTTCGGCTCGCCTTTGTAGTACCCATCGCCGGCAAAACAGAGACGACGTCAGATCGGTGGTGGTGGCAATGGTGCTGCCGCCGCTCCACTGCCGCCTTTGATTACTCCTCGACGGCATCGCAATCGATGTCTCTCGACGGCGGGATGTCGAATTACTCCTCGACGAAGTCGCAATCGATGTCTCTCGGCGGCGAGATGTCAGATTACAACATCGATGGCATCACAATGATGTCTCTTGCCGGCGGGATATCGGATTATAGCCTCTACGGTGTTGCAATCGGTGTCTCTTTGTGGCAAGACGTCGGATTACAGGCTTACAGCCTCGACGGCGTCGCAATCGGCGGCGAACATCTGCGTCGCAATCGGCGGGGAACATCTACGTCTCTTGCTCCGTCCGGGAGGGCCGGCGTCCTCATCCGCGTCTCGTGCTCCGTCAGAGGGTCTGTGCCTGTGTGGGAGGTGGAAGACGATATATATATATATATATAAGTGAGATGAGGCTAGTTTTGTAATTATGTATTGGTCAACGAGGATAAAGATGTCATTTTAGATATTAGAAGGGTAAAATTGACCTTCTAACAAATTTATCATGCTGACATCAGCACATGACGTTAGTTGTTTAACGGCCAGGATAATTTGCTACGTAAATCAAAACCTAGAGGAGGATTTGCTACCTAGAGGAGGTGTGAGTGGAATATTGACAAAGGTCAGGAGGTGTAGGTGAAATTAACTCTAATATAAATGGTGTTAGTAACCCATAACTTTTTTTTTGGAAAATATGAAGTCAGACAAAAATAACATTAGAAAATACTCTCCTACAAAATTTAGACACGTAGACACCACTTTTTGTGCACGTATGTTGATGACAAATAATGATATCTGCACAAAAAGTGATACCTCTATAATACATGCTTACCTTTTGACAAATGGAACTTGTATTTCATATCTATGTCAGCATTTTGATCAATTTTATTTTTTTTTAAATTATGACACTTTGACTCCATCAAATAATAAATATGAGTCATTAATACTATTTATATGTAACAATCCTTTTAATATAGGGTCAAAAACCAATTACTAAAACTTGCGTAGATATTTTTTATTAAAGCTGCGTTTAGACCAGACCAATTACTAAAACTTTTGTAGATATTTTTTTAAAAAAGTTGTGTTTGGACTGGAACATCAATTTCTTATTTTTAACCAAGTCACCGGGTCTTTGATCCAACCAAACAGTAATCCTGAATTTTTTTTTTTTTTTTTTTTTTTCTTTATACAAAACAAGAAAGATTAGAAGTTAAATTAGTAAATGCAGAGAGTCAAAGCTTGGCACTCCAAAATTCATCGGAGGCACTAACCCGAAAAATTAGAAATTAGATTAGTAAATACAGAGAGTCAAATTTTGTCACTCTAAAATCTACCGAAAGCACTAACTTACTAACTTACTGAACTATCGAGGAATGTGCAGTCCTAATATCAACATGCGCATCTAACCCTTTATCTCCCGTTGCGTGACATCACCATAGTGTCGTCCTAAAAACTCTCCCATTCTGTTTTCTCTACTTACAGGAAAAAGACCCAAAATTTGTGTGATACCGAAGAAAAAAAAAAAAAAAAAAATTATCCTTTTATGTAATCATCTAGAATGATCAAACCGTAGCTTAACATGAAAACTACTAAAAACTTATTTATTAACTCCTTTTCAGAACTGACATTTAATTGAAAATTAATAATCTATCATAAATTACAGAAATAAAATAGTTTTTAATATTGCATGATTTAAATGTGTTTTTAGAAACACTGACAAAGATAGCATATAGAAAGTAAAATACATATTTGAGATATGGAATGATATTTGTAACGTGGATGTAATTGGGATTTGGGCCAAGTGAAAATTAAATTTAACTAGAAAATGTAAATGTAAAAGTTACTCGCAATAATTCTCAAGAACCAACATGGCATATGTTAGGGTCTTCTTCAAGCAAAAGCGCCTGCAACACCCAGTGAAAAAAAATATATATAAAATCAATAGAACAAAATTGTAAAACACCTTTTACTCTCATTCATAATCCCTAGCTATATACAGATGATGAAAAACTTCCACTTAGGAGGAGCACAAATGAAGAAAATTAATCTGGTCAACAAGCGTACTTTTCTTTCTAGATGATCAGGAATTCCTATGTGAAAATTGCTAGAGAGATTGATTATACATAACTGTCGTTTACATATCTGGATTTGCCTCTTCTGGTATAACAGTCAGAGTTACCGAACTATTCTTGGCTCTTTTCACAACGGCCTTCAAGAGTTTCCCGACGTTGTCCCCCAGTATTTCAACAATCTGCCATAAACCCAATAATAGTGTCAGCCATCAGCATACATAATCATGCAAGCAGCTTTCCACATATGATGTTGACATGTTGTGAAGCCAAAAGGTTGAAGGCAAAATAGGTTTCTAGGCTTGAACCTCCATTTAAACAGTCACTCAATGCACCGAGTTTCATTTTTAACACTCCTTCTGTTTTATGTCTTAATACTATCCAGTGACCTGGAATGGCCTATAATCATTCGTGCAATCGGGTTTTTTAATAGGCCCTACTGATTTGATATCGAGCAAACTCCCATTGGAACCCTCTAACGCAGGATTCATATAGTTATAGGGAAATCACAACCCATGTGCACATCATATAAATTACCACCACCGGGAACTCCAGCAATTCCCAATGTAGCTCTGTTTTGATTCAAAGATGCTCCTCATTGCACATAGTTGGTGAAAGGAAAAAGTTCTCCGTACCTCCTTAATGCTCCCAGCAGGCCAGCCTCCAAATTCAACATCACCCGGACAGAATCCAGCACGGTCAGCAGGGGAAACTGAAGTTACCTGGTTAAGGGAAATTATCAAACATTAGTTTCCGAAAGTTGCATCTTTATGAGCAATTTATGACTTACACTATCTCGGTGCATATTCAACATTTATGCACATGCATGTCAGTTGCAGTTGGTGCATAAATCATAAATTAATAACAGAAAAATTACTGAAACCAATTTACTATTGAAGCAAGGTTCACCTTAAAATGAACCATAGTCAACTATATATTGCTCTTGAGCCATTATCACTTTCCAACACATTTCCCTTATATCCTTGCTACATGCAAGGACTACAAATAAAGCCTTTTCTTACCGTGGGGTCAGTGACATGAATCCTATTTTTCCATTCTACTAAAAGGCCATAACCTCAATGAAACCATGTGTTATCATATATTTCATTACTAACTCTACCCATATTAGTTTTGGTCTTTCATTCCCCTAGCATTAACACTAGTGCACATAATGGACTTCTTTGCACGTATCCAACCACCTTAATCAATTTTCTCTCATTTCATCTCCAATCTGTGCTACTTCAACCTTCTACAAATGTGTTCATTTCTAATATTATTATTTTGTCTTCATGCACATTTTGTGCATTTGTTATTTCTTAGTTATTCAACGTTTTGCCCACAAAGAATGGTTGTCTAATAGCTGTTTATAGAACTTCCCTTGCTACATGACATTAATTTTTTTATTAAAATAATAGTATTAATGATGATAATAATTTTCACCAAAGGATGGAAGCTTTAGCATATCCAGCTTGTGGATAGCATGAATTAATGCATGACTTTCCATGCCATGGATTGAAGCTTTGTGACACCAAAACCACTCACCATGCAATTAAGTAAATTAGCTTTGTGTATATAAGACTTTTAATGAGAAACTCTACTCTTCAACTACATCATCAATTGCCACTAATTGTATAACTGTATCAAAAAGAAGGAAGTTATCACTAAGACCGACTTTTAACAGCAAACAGCAGCTGCCAAGAATTTCTACCAACAAGCTTGTAGGGGCAGGCTGGCAGCTTAGCAGTGATTTTGACCTCCGGCAGCAACAGAAATAGCTGCTGAAAGTCCCTGTTTGTTTGGTATAGACAGAACATGGTGAAAGAGATATGAAGCGGGATGGGAATGCATGGTTTTGGGTGAGAGTAGTGGGACAAGGAGAGGGAATGACACTTGTCAAATTTGAACGAACCAAACCTACTTTCAGACAATTAAACTTCATTTCCCAAGCCAAAGATGTGCCCAACAAGAAAACTTGATGTTGGCTTGCAACGG